GGGCCCACTTTAAAAAAACAAGTTTTTTCCTTTTTTTTGAGATAATGGTGTTTGGCAATGCGCTCACATCTGCAAGAGGTGATTACAAAATGCCGAACTAGAACAACTTGAACCCAGTCTATTTGGTATATTTAAACTCTCCCGGGCCATGTAGGCGGGCAGAGCCACAGCTTAGGAGGCTAAAAATGCCAAAATTGCTTCTGAGTTTGTTCAACTGGAATATGACATTGCCTTTTCTGAATTCAGCCCTCTTTCTTCTCCACACAGGTCATCGTCAAGCTGGTGACGCTTGTACATGAAAAGACACAGGTAATGCATAAAAGATGTCTAAAAGGTATGGGGAGGTAGGTAGCATCACTAATCAGGAAATCCTCGTCCCTAACCCTCGGAGATGGACATGGTGACCGTTTATTTTTGTTGCAATATGGACAAATATCTCTCTAGTTAAAAGGGCATTTGAAGGAAAAGCTACGGATTAGCATTCACTGATTTTCTAACTGTCAGTTTAAGGCTGCGAATTTAATTCGTAAATTGTGTGGAAAATCTAACGCACCTTCCACCTTTTAGCTCGATACTTTTATACTGACAGTTGACTGACTATGGCTGCTAATTATCTTTCAGTAGTATGTTAGAAGAGCGGAGTTAAATGGCACACACTAGCTCAACGTCAGCATCACGCGTGGCAGGCTAATTCCTTCGATGAATTGTGACTTCCCACGATAACTTTGTTGCGCGAGAATATTCTATCTTTTTTTATCTCTCCAGTTCTACAAGCATTTCCTACTAAACGCTGGATCACGCGATTAGCGTTGATACCACTCCCCTAGCCAATCGCATCATTTAACGCATGACATGGAGCAAAATAGCCACTTCTGATTGGCCATTGACGTTGTGTGCGAGAGCCACACGACTCAATACACCAATAAAAAGACAGGACAGTCTGAATTGGCATAGTAACCAGTGCCTTGTCATACATGCAGTAATCTTGAAGGCTACAGTGAATTTGGAACGCTGGGAAGGAAACTGATGCAATAACTAGAATGCCAACTGTTATTTAGGCTTTCCTTTGACGTGAATTAAGACT